TCATTTCAAGGGAATTGAGGTGTTATTAACATTTATTAACAATAAACTACAATATTTATTGATAAAGATTCGATGAAATATATTATTTATTCCTGTTTAAGCTTAGTATCTTTATCAATATGTAAGTTGTTTGCTTTTATTTACTGTAAAACAATTTATCAAATTGGTGGAAGTTTAGATATTAATTTAAATAAATTTAAATTTATTGTCATCTACATTTGTTGACTAAACTAATATAATATTGTAACTTCTATTGATAAATAGGAATTCAAAATCTTAGTTTTGGGAATAATTTGCAATAATTTGCATAATTATTCTATTACTATTTGAATTTGTTCAACTAAAATTCAATTTGTAGTAAATTTTTGCTTCTAATATATAACTTAATAGTCTTGCAAAAAAAGATTTTGAGCAGCAAAAAAAATGACTGCCATATCATTGATAAAATTAAATAGCTTATCCGAGCTTACTATGTAAGCACCTAACGTTTTTAATATACATTATTCGTCACTTTCTAATCACTAATACGCAAATTTTCGCTCACTTTATATTTGACGATACATGAAATTTTGTCACTTTATATTTAAATAGCAAATAAATTCTCAATAAGCTAAGTACAATTAAATTTATTGATAAATTTAAAAATACATCAGATGAAATCTAATTAATTTTTCGTTTAAGTTTCAAAAAAATAAAAATAAAAATAAAAATTGCAAATATTTGATTTTTTTTTCGATGAATTTTGATGCTCACCGGGGTGTTATATCTTAACATACTAAATAATTAGAGTCAGGGTTCTAAATAAACTGTTCGGGACCCCAAAACATCACCTCACAAGAACTGATATCGGGACCTTGTATCTAATCTACAATATGTTATATAAAACCCTTTATCAAATTTTTAGGCCGGTGAATATTAAATAAATAAATCCTTTTTTATCTGATATTTCAAGTTTTTTCAAAGGTTTCTAAATCACTTTTACTAAAATGCACCTACCATATCCTACTGTAAATAAGCACTACACCCTCTACCCCACTTTTTAAATGTCAAATTAGCGGAAATCGCAATGTAGTCTTTAGCCAAATTACTCCCGCTAATCTGATATTTAAAAAAGTGGGTAGAAGTTGTGGTGCTTATTCACGGTAGAATACGGTATGGTGTTTTACCACCTAGGTCCCTATTTCTCAAAAACGTACTAAGTAAGGTACTCTAATTAAAAATGCTTAGGACCCCAAAAACCTCACGAAAACTGAGATCGGGCCTTATATTAACTCTATATTATATTATAAAAAAAAAAATAATAATTCTTAATACCCAAACCTTAACCCTAAATTTTATTAAATACAATTATATATGGTGCTAAATCACCATAGATGCGTTTTATAATAATTGTTCTGGATTACCGCTAAACCAAATTTCAATGAACTTATTTTTTATTTTAATTTTACAAATATATAGGATCAAAATAAAAATGGGTTACTAAATTCGATCGAATAGTTATTGAGAAATCTTCGCTCTAAGTTTAAAAAGGATTTTGATCGGCAGCCTGGAATTTTCATGCCATAAGGGTATCCACTATAACCGTGCGATAAACATAAGACGTATTGTTTCTTTGTCTGTAGTGTCCTTTAGACATAATATAGCTCAATTATATATATCCCGCTTTGGTTTCATAAAATTTAAAAGGTATAAAATATTTAAAAATAACACTTTTATTAAATGTGACGGATTAAAAATGAAATATTGTACAATGTAAAAAATAGACAAATAAAAATTTTTGAAATGCTATTTTTAGGGTTAGGTGATAGGTTAGAAGTTAGTTTTTGGTAGAGTTTACAATAAACAAGTATAAGTGGGTTTTAGAGGGTTAAATAAAAACTCTCATTTCATTTTAATCCGATTTCACTATGGCCGCGACAGTTATTAATTAAAGTACAGCTCATGGATATAGACTTTCTAATAATTAAGAATTATCTCGATCTGCTAGTGATTTATCATATCCTTTCATACAACTATAAGTTATTGCACGCTGTAGCAATGCGAACGCATTTTTTCTATCGTTTTTTAGAGATCTATTTAAATATTCAAGTGATTTCTCATAATTTCCGTCTTTACAATAAATTGCTCCAAGGTATCCTAGTGCAAATGAATCTTCTGGATCAATAATTAATGATTTTTCTAAATCTTCACGTGAATTCATAAATTTATTAATCATATAATAAGTCGCACCACGATTTTTTAACACAAATTCATTATCTGGTTCTATTTCGAGAGATTTATTTAAATCTGCTAGAGAATCAATATATTTTTCTATCTTCCTATAGATTGCACCACGATTTCCTAACGCAATTGCATTAGTTGGCTCAATTCTTAGTGATTCATTTGAATCTTTGAATGATTTTTCATAATTTCTCATCATATAATAAGTCCTTCCACGATTTCCTAAAGTATCTGCATTATTTGGATCGATTTCTAATGACTTGTTTAAGTCTTCAAGTGATTTATTATATGATTTCATATAATAATAAGTTATACCACGTAGTTGTAACGTGAATGCATTATTCGGTTCAATTTTAAATGAAATATTTAAGTCATTAAGTGACATCTCATAATTTTTAGTCTTACAATAATATATTCCACGGTATCTTAACGCAAATGCATCATTTGGCTTAATTTCCAATGATTTATTTAAATCCGCAAGCGATTTTTCGTATTCATAATTATTAAAATTACGATATTTATTAAAACTGCGACATTCACAATAATCTAAATCTTCTTTCTTTATCATAATATAAGTTGCACCACGATGTTTTAATGCAAATGCATCATTTGGCTCTATTTCAAGAGATTTATTTAAATCTGCAAGTGATTCATTATACCTTTTCATTATTCTATAAATCGCACCACGATTTTTTAATACAAATTCATTATCTGGTTCTATTTCGAGAGATTTATTTAAATCTGCAAGAGAGTCAATATATTTTTCTATCATCCTATAGATTGCACCACGATTTCCTAACGCAATTGCATTAGTTGGCTCAATTCTTAGTGATTCATTTGAATCTTTGAATGATTTTTCATAATTTCTCATCATGAAATATGTCCTTCCACGATTTCCTAAAGTATCTGCATTTTTTGGATCGATTTCTAATGACTTATTCAAGTCTTCAAGTGATTTATTGTATAATTTCATGTAATAATAAGTTATACCACGTAGTTGTAACGTGAATTCATCATTCGGTTCAATTTTTAATGAACTGTTTAAGTCATTAAGTGACATTTCATAATTTTTAGTCTTACAATAATATATTCCACGGTATCTTAACGCAAAAGCATCATTTGATTCAATTTCAAGTGATTTATTTAAATCTACAAGCGATTTTTCATATTCATAATCACAAGACCAACGAGAACATAAATTTTTTTTCTTTATCATAAGATAAGTTGCACCACGATTTCTTAATGCAAATGCATCATAAGGTTCTATTCCAAGAGCTTTATTTAAATCTGCAAGTGAATCATCATATTTTTTCATTATTCTGTTAATTGCACCACGATTTCCTAATGCAATTGCATTAGTTGGCTCAATTTTTAATGATTCGTTTGAATATGCAAGTGATTTTTCATAATTTCCCATCATATAATAAGTCCTTCCACGATATCCTAAAGTATCTGCATTATTTGGGTCGATTTCTAGTGACTTGTTTAAGTCTTCAAGTGAATTATAGTATAATCTCATATAATAATATGTTACACTGCGGCATTGTAAAGTAACTGCATCATTCGGTTCGATTTGTAGTGAATTATTTAAATCATTAAGTGAAAACATATACTTCTTAGTCTTACAATAATTTATTCCACGGTATCTTAACGCAAATGCATCATTTGGTTCAATTTCCAGTGATTTATTTAAATCTGCAAGTGATTTATCATATTCATAATAATATTCATTACTATTTCGATATTTATCATTAATCAAAAACCAAGACGATAAATTTTTTTTCTTCTCTATCATTAGATAAGTTGCACCACGATGTTTTAAAGCAAATGCATCATCTGGTTCTAATATAAGAGATTTTTCGAAGTCTGCAAGTGAATTATTATAGTTTTTCATTATTCTGTAAATTACTCCACGAAGTTTTAATGCAAATGTATCATTTGGCTCTATTTCAAGGAATTTATTCAAGTCTACAAGCGATTTATCGTATTTTTTTTTAATACAATAAATTATTCCACGAATTTTTAACGCAAAATCATCGTCAGGATCTATTTTGAGAGATTTATTTAAGTCTACAAGTGATTCATCATAATTTTTCATTACCATATAAATTAGACTCCTGTTTTTTAATGCAAATGCATTATTTGGTTCTATTTCGAGAATTTCATTAAAGTTCATGAGTGATTTATAAACAAATGCATCATTTTTTTCTACTTTGAGAAATTCATTTAAGTTTGTGAGCGATTCATATGCAAATACATTATTTGGATTTGTGTTGAGAATTTCATTTATAAGTAAATCCATGAATGACTTATCATATCCTTTAATCTTACAATAAATTTCATCGCGTTTTTTCAATGCAAATGAGTAGTTTGGTTCAATCTCTGAAGATCTATTTAAATCATTAAGTGATTCCTCGTATCTATTAATCATAGAATAAGTAAATCCGCGAAATTTTAACGTCCATGCATTGTTTGGTTCAATCTCTAGTGATTTATTAAAGTCTATTAATGATTTGTCATATTTTCCCATAAAATAATAAGTTTCTCCACGTAGTCTTAATGCGTAAGCATCGTTTGGTTCAATTTCTAAAGAATTGTTCAAATCTTTAAGCGATTCTATATATTTTTTCATATTAAAGTAAGTTGTTCCACGTTGCTTTAATGCCCATATGTCATCTGAATTTATTTCTAATAAATTATTAAAAAATTTAAGTAATTTATTAGTATATGTTTCAGAATGTAATCTTGGAAATAATCTAGACTTATTCATGTTATTGATACTAAGCCTTGGATAGTTTCTTAAAAGTTTCTCTTTTCTGTCTATTGGAAGGTTGAAATAATTACGTAGATATAAAATAAAATCAACAATCCGATTACTTTTGTAGAAAATAGATTCAAATAACTGATTCAGTAGACTAAATTTTTGTTTAGAACTCTCTTGAACATATTGATCATAAAAATACAATTGAATTGAATTCTCAAGGCTTTTGAGTGGAACATTTGCTAAGAGAGAAAGGGCACAATATGGATTTATTGATCTATTCACATTAATTTCAAGTTTCTTCAATTGATTATTGGTTCTGTGAATTAGAGCAAGTTGTTCTAATGTATAGAGTGGAATTTTTAAATACTCAAGATTTATTGTTTTCTGTGCAATTATTTCGACGAGCTGTGTAATATCAACGTTATCTTCGGAATGCCAGTCAAGTATAATTCTTTTAAGTGTTTTGCAACTTGTCATAATGAGACCAGATAATAATCTAATAGGGGTTGCGTTATCATAAATTTTATAAGTACCATAAGAATATTCTAAGGATGTTAAATTCGGAAAAGCAATAGCAAGAGGAAGAAATACAGAAGAATTAAGCCCTTCACAGTGTTTAAACTTCACTCTGTTGACTTTTGTACACTGGGCCAGTGTATCGATAGCACTGCTATTTAGTTGACAAATACCATAA